TGAAGCAGGCTCCAGGCTTTGAGCTGTCAGCACGGAGCCTGACGTGGGGCTCAAACTCACGAACCGTGAGATCATGACCTGAGCCGAGGTCGGACACTTAACCGACTGAGCCACCCCAGCACCCTAATGAATCTACTTTTTAAACTAAATTTTATGAAATCTAAATACAGTTCAAGCATTTCTGGTTAAAATTTAGCACTTGAGGTGGACTGTGAAAACTCATCAGATTTAGATTTAATATAAAAAAATGAAGGGTAAATATCTCTTTAATGTTTTTAAAAATATTGTTTACATGTCAAAATGATACTATTTTGGCTACATCATAACCCAATGCATATACACCCAGTAAAAAATACTATTAAAATTAATTGTAGCTGTTACATGTTACTTTTTAAATTCAGCAACTAGAAAATTTTAAATGACAAATGTGGCTTGCGTATATTCCTATTGAACAGTGCTGCTCTAAAGCTATTAGTTGAATTAAAATCTGAGTGCACCATGCCTTAAAATCCCCCACCAAATAAATGTAAGTGAAAACATCTATATTTTTGTCAGATGTATGGATAAAGATACAGCTTGACCAACCCATACACGCCCTTCAATCTGCTCTGACGGCACAGATGATTATAATGCATGGATGGGAGCGCTTATTCACAGTGGACATCCAGAAGGGCATGAACTAATTACCAGCCTCACTTCAGCTCTTCATTTCAACTCCCAGGCAACCTGTTTCCCGAGGTACTATTAAGTAGCACACAGACGCCAGAGCGCCTCACGGCCCATCTCTGGCTCTGTCTGCTCTGGGGGAAGTGCTCAGCACATGTGAAATGGCAAAATCACAGGCAGCAGTGGCACTGATGAGGATAGAGAAGATGGGGGAGAGCTGATCACATCGAGTGTCTGGGAAATAGGCAGGAAGCAGCTCAAGCTCCCAGACTTGCTCCTGCATCCCAGAAGTTACAACAGCAGGCTATTGTGTTGTCTTGGAAAACACCACTTCTTTTTAAGCACACATCTACAAGTTGCCAAAGGCCACACAAGCAAATGATGGAAAACTCAAGTCTCCTAGGGAAAGTGTGCTGGTTACAAAACAGGAAATTTGATAAGATGTGGTGCTTGTAGCACAGAGAAAGTCAGTGGTTCATTAGGCGAATAACTTGTAAGCTTGTTTTTGCACGGTTTAGGTAATAACACCAACATTATTTTTTGTTTGTTTAATTTTATTTTTTATTTTTTAAAATTTACATCCAAAT